GATTTTTAGCTGTAGAGGATGCATCAATTTTTTAAAGTTTTCCTTATTTTTTTAGTAAAAATTGCTGTTCCCGGGCAAATTTAGTTGTCCAAAAATTTAACAAGCAAAGCTTTCACATTTCGCTTTTTTCCCGAAAAAAACTGCGTTTATAAGTTGTTTTCAGCAGCTGTTTGCAATAGTTGTTTTATTTTAGGCTAAATGAAAGGTTTTTAGATTTGAAACGACACGTAACAAAACTTCAAATCGAAGTTTTGAAAGAAAAAATTTCAGCTATGATTCAGGGATTTATCATGATTGAATTATCCATGATTATTGCTCAGAGTATTAACTATCAAAATAACCCATGAATCATCGCTAAAATTTCCTTAAAACTGGCATATGACTGAATTAGCCATGAAATTTTCTACAAAACTGAGATATCTCTGAATCAGCGATAATGTTTCTTGTCATATCAACCCAAGTATTTTGTGGCGATTTTATCAATGGCTAAAAGGTGCCTCTTGATATTTTTTTAACATGATACGATCAAGTTAATCCTAAAGTTTTTGTAAAGAAGCCTTCGGCGCCAATATATACTAAATTTGAGGGGGAGCGCGCGCCGACAAAAGGCAATTTTTTGGTCATAGTTTTCCAAAAACGCCTAAAAACGCCTTTTTCTGGTTATTTTCTTTTTACCTCCCACCTGCAAAGTTTAGCTCACCATGCCCGGTTGATACGACAATTGCTAAACGGACTAATTAGGCTATGACAAACATATTTTCATAATTAACTCACTAATATCACTGCTGGCTACACCATTAAATTGATGCTCGAGTGAGAAGGGAGACGAAAAAGAGCTAATATTTGGTCAAAAAAGGCCTTGATAGAGATTTGGGAATGCTCAAAAAATCAACTTGGTCGACCTTAAGAAAAGGTCGACTAATTTTTCGATTTTTTCAAATTCGCCCTTACTCTCCAAGAAAATCTCCTACTTTAAAATTAGTTCTCACAGTTTAGGGGTGGAAATCTTTAGGATTTCAATTTAGTGAAATAAAAAACTTGTCATAAGTTTTGATCTCAAATGTGGCGGCGTAGGACACTTTTTCTTGCCTGCCTCAGCATTGAGCATTCCGACACCAGCAAGAATGACCTCTCGTTCATCAAATTGTTCATCTGGAGTAGTTCACTTCCCGAACGGTCCTCAAAAGTCTCCCATTCCTCTAAAGTCTAATGTCTCCCATTCTAGTCGCATAGTCAGCCGAGCCATTTTTCTGCAAGAAATCGTAATGTTTTTGTTAAACTCCAGCATCTGCTTGTTCATCATTAGTTGCTGTATTCCAATATGTGCTCCCCATAGAGCAGTACCCAAGCTCAAAATCGTAATGTTTTTGTTAAACTCCAGCATCTGCTTGTTCATCATTAGTTGCTGTATTCCAATATGTGCTCCCCATAGAGCAGTACCCAAGCTCAAAATCGTAATGTTTTTGTTAAACTCCAGCATCTGCTTGTTCATCATTAATTGCTGTATTCCAATATGTGCTCCCCATAGAGCAGTATCATAGAGCAGTAACCAAATTTTTTGCCCCTCTCCAACAAAAACCCACCAATCCGACCAAAAGGAGAGCATTTTTTGGAAGCAGATGGGTTGTAAGGCTTCGTTTTACCCGACAGTGCATTTGCATCAAGCTTTTCTGAAAACTTTTTCAACTTCTGAGGGTTCGGTGAATCTGAGAAATCGGCGGTGTCCAGGTCTGGTCGGTATTTTCCGTCAATATTTTCGGGCGATCTTTTCGGCGGTCGAAGTTTCTTGATCGTTCCTCCGGGATTGGTATTGTCTGGATCTACTACCTTTCCTTTATTAGCCGGTGATTTTTTCTTTTCCTCTCCTCCACCCCGCCCCCTTTCTCCCACCTCCTGGTTTTTTGTTACCCTCCGCCTCCCAGTTTTTTTTTGTTTGATCCGGAGGGGAGCATCAAAACTTTTTCATATTGTAAATAGCCAAATCAAAAAAAGCCGATATCATTTGATCAGAAAATAATTTTTTCAGCAAAAAATAAGAAAACATACGAAGTCAAGGTTAGTTAAATTACAAAATGCAGTAAATCAAAAAACCCAAAAAATCCAGCGAATCGTTTACCTTCAAATCAAAATGCTGGAGACGCTAAGAAGATTGAATTCATTATGACACAGGATACCAAAAGATTTTGTTAACCAACCCGAAAAACGTCTGTATTCCAATTTGATAACCATTGCCAATTGCAAGCGTAAATAAATTAATACTGATAAAAGCTTGGCATGTCGAACAAACTAAGAAATGTGAACAAATTTCTTCATACTTCATACTTTTCATCGTGATATCACACATTTAGCCATAATAACAAGTAAATCAATTATCTAAAAAATATATTTTGAAAAGTAGAGGATGCTAGAAGAGCCGACTTTCTGCTTAGCTTTTGACACAGAAAAAACTAAGCTTCGCATCATAGCAATACTAAACTTTTAAAATAAAAGCATCACGAGGCTCAAAAAACAGCAAAAAACATCGAATGATGTTGCAATGGTGGCTTGTCACGGAACCAAATAAGCATTCGTTGCCTGATAGCCAAAAAACCAATTCGTTCTCAGATAGCCAAAGAACTCGATTCCCCTCCACGCCAAAAGTTGATCGCTGAAACAGATTATTTAATTAATATATAAATAAAAAACGCTCATTCCTAATATAGAAGAACGGAAAACAAAATTTGTGCCGGAGTCTCATCAATCTCGAAAGTACTCTGAACTTTTTTAGGAAATAAGCTGAAATGAAGTTTTCATGAAATAAACTGAATAAACTCTCAGCCATCAAGCTTAAACTCAACCAAAAACTTTCGACAAAAAATTCACAACGTAAAAAATTAGAAAATTCATATCAGAAAAATAATATCAAAACTCTATAATTGTATATACAATGGTTTCAGTAGTGGATACAGCAGGTATCAGTAGTAACTAGTAACTAGTAGTAAAAAAAAATCCATATTTCGATCTGAAAAATGTCGGTAAAGAATATGCTTGCGACACCGATATTTTTGGCAAAACCAGGTTTTCTAGTGAGTTGTGAGAGCTAGGAAACTCAATTCGGGCAATCTAACAGACGGACAAAATCAGCTTTTCCCGTCAATGCAATTATTTATTAAGTGAAAATAAGTTCTTTTTCAGCCCTGGCGAATGATTTTTGAGCAAACCGAGAACTGATTTCAGAAAATTGAAGTTTCAGATAAAGTATGATTACAGAGCAGCTGTTTGTATAGGGTCCTATCCTATCATAATTATTTGGTTTTCAAATCTAGTTGATTTTAATAGTTCATCTTAGTGAAAATTTAAAAAAAACGCTAACTTTTACATCGACGTGATATCCGAATTACCAAAAACATTGAAATATTTTCTCAGAGTCAATTTAAAGTCATCACTTAGAGATCACGGCGTATAAAAACATTGACACTACTATTTTCAGGCAATAAACAGGGCAGTCCAACAGTGTCGAAAAAGAACGTTGTTCAACAGTGCCAAAATTAATTTAAGTACAGTTTTTAATAATCCCAAATCACTGACAATTAAAATAAATCAAAACGACGGAAGTTGAAATGTCAAAATGGCCATTTTATTCGATGCCACTTGTTAAACAAACAAATGTTACCCAAGCGCGGCGTCATAAATTTTTCTGAGCAAACTATTAACTCAGCAATTGTCAATTTTTCGATTCGCTCCAAAACGAAATGGACTTCAAACGAATTATCAACAATTCGCAAACAAAACTCAACATTTTCAAATATCCTCACTCAGTTTTCAGCACTGTTGAACAAATTTTCAGTTCGGCACTGTTGTACTTCGGCACTGTTGAACGCCCCCAAATAAACCAGCCTAAGTATAAACCAACCGAAAATGCGCGGAGTATTTAAGTCAGCCGAAAAGTTTCATCATATTTATCAATTTGCATAACTTTCGTAACTGTAACATAATTTTTACATAACCATATAACACTTACGTATTTTCGGCTGGATGATAACTCGAATGGTTTATATACCACCTAAATTTTCACTCACAAAAAATATTGTGTGGAAATCTAGAAATTAAATTTGTCATCATTTGTAGACAACAAAACTCGGTGATGAAAACACTAAAATAATTGATTTACAAAAGGGCAGCAATCATCGAAACTTTCTGACTGAAACTATCTACTGCGCCATTAAAAAAAATCGACGCTATTATTTTCATCAATTTAATCTAAATATATTTGAACGTAACAAACACGTTGGATGGAAGAGACAGTTGGATATAAGTGTTACTGAACTTAAGAATATGATAACGATGTTTGAAGTGCGAAACAAATAACAAACGGATGAACTTCCGATTAAACTCGAATTTTAAGGAACTTCGATGGAAAAAATCGGACAAAATTTAGCACATAATTTTTAGCTGGTTACTTGAAAATCAAATCACTTGTGAAATTTGATTACAATTGCAACTATTTATTATGAAAAGAAGAGCCCGATTTGATCACAGCTAAGACAATGAGCGCAAACAAACAGTCAACAGATTTTCGCTAAGAAAAGACTAAAAAATTGAACTGCGTTCGGTAACACTTGATAAACTTCGTTCTGCCGAGAAAATAAAACTGATCGAATCACCACTTCGACAAATATTTAAAAACTTAAAAGCACTAGATTTCAGTTAGTAATACACATCAAGGTAAAGAAATAAATTTGATTAGGCCTATAAAATCATATTTCGGCTCGAAAATTAATTTGATGTATAGATTTATATTGAAGAAAAAGGACAGCCCTATGAATAAAGGTCAAAAGGTAGAAAATTGTACAAAATTAAGGAATAAAAGACAGCAACTTTCAATTAAATTTGAAAGGATTAAATTTTCACTTTCATAGTCTGGGTAGCAAATGGTTTCTTGAGAAGGTCTCGCTTTAATAATTTCTCTCTTCCTTGATTTTCAGAAATAACATTGCGATAAACGACCAAAAACTAATCAATCAAAGTACATTAAAAATCATTGAAATCAGGGAAAAGAGATCTCATTACGTATATTGGATAGAAGATAAATAATATCATAGATAGAAAAGAAACAATTTGTAGCACCAATGTTCAAGTGATAGCAGTTCATGTTCAGGACATCATCATTACTTTCGCGAGAACAGATAATAATAATAAAGCCTCGATTCATTTCATGACAGATTTTCAAAAGCATCCACAAAGGCATATTCAATTCAGTATAGTTTAAATAGCTTAAATTTCCAGAGACAAACGAACTGTTTAGGCATTGTCACGTCAATTGACGAATAGCACAAAATACCAAATATTTACCACGCTGAACTTGATGGCTGGATTTTTTCAGCATCATCACTGCTAAGGTAATTAGTGGCAAAGAAAAAACTCCAACTTTCGGCTGGAGATTTTTCCATCTTTTCGAACCTACCAAAATATTTCCAATTCAAAATTTTGTACTCGAAAAAGCACAGCAACTAAACAAGGCGAAATTTTAACACTGATAGAAAAGAGATTATGAGGTTAAAGTTTCAGATCAGCGTTTACTCTGACTTTTCCTCGAAAATTTCTGTGACCTCTGATTTCATGATTGGACTAATTTCTGAGTACACAATAACACTGTTCAGTTTGCGCCTCTAGCTTTGAAAACAGAACAGGTGGTTAGTTATGTTGTCCTGTCTATTTTTATCTGAATAGTTCTGTGATTTTGGCCTTTATAATGGGACTGTCTTCTATGATCTGGCCGATTGGTATTGTGAGGGTGGTGTCCAAGTTGTGGTTGTGCATCACCAGAGATGTCTCCGTATAGGCCACCACCAAGTCAGTGGGGGAACTGTAGTTGATGTAGGGGTAGGCGAAGCCGTATTTCTTCTCCTCGTACTGTAGTTTCAGGTGCATCACTTCTCCGTTCACCCTGAAACATCGTCAGTTCATCCTCATTATTTACATACAACGTACCTCATAGGTATCCGGGTTAATCACATGGTCGAAAATTTTCATCTACTCAAGGTCCTTTAAACTGCCCAATACTGACTTAACGGAAGTCAGATTTTTCGCATTTTGATTACAAGATGACGATCCATTTCCTCAACTTCTTCAGCCTTGAGCTACCAGCCGTTACCATCTTTGAAACCAAAACATGATATCCATCATATAAAATAATTGACTAATGTGAGATAAAGCTATCGAATCAAGAAATGAATCATGTTTCATAATATCAACCAAGAAAATAGTGAACAAAATACTTACCACACTGATATGGCGTATCCTCCTTCCCTGCTTTTCCTGACTAAGAAAGTACCATTAGTCATCTGTCCGTGCTCCCTACACAACTCAAACATCTTAGTAGCAATATCTCTAGTAACTGATTTCTCATAAAACCACAGCGCCGGCTTTTCTCTATTAAATAATTGTTTTTCCGTTAGGATGTCATCTTCATACGCGATCCCGAACAACTCGAGAGTAATTCGCCGCTTCGTCTGCTGTCGGATCTCGGCCGAAAGGATTGTGGAGCTCTTGTGCAGATCGGTTTCGACGGAGCGTTTTTTGTTGTGCAGAATGTCTAGTTTCGATTCACACTCTTCGATCATGTTTTGCGCGACATCTAGTCTTCGTTTGAGCATGTCCTCTGATATGGATAGCCTAAAACAAGTTAATTTTGGGTATGAAAGCTAACATGCGGGCTCTAATCAGTATAAACACCAAGATTCGAAATTAGGTAACCGCTGGGATAAAATCAAGAAATTTCTTGGTAATCGAAACTTTTCAAGGAAATCAAAATCGAATCTTCAAGAGACGAAGCTTCGCTTCGCAAACACTAGCGAGGACGAAAAAAAGCAGCTCTATAAAGTGCAATACAAAAGTGGAAATAAGCCTCGAATTATTAAAAAATTTCGGCTACGTCTAGGATTCGATCTGCGCCCTAGATAATATGAGTCTCACTCAGTACCCGCTCAGCCACGGACGCTTCATAAATTACAAACACTGGCCACAAAGCAGGGCACAGATCCTATCAAATTTTCAATGCTTGAGATCGTTATTATAGCAAAATTGCCATCAAATAAGCTTACCAAACAAGTTAGGTTAGAAAAAAGAAAGGTTCAAACTAATTCACTACGCAGCTCACAAGTGTAATCAAACTTGATGTTGCTAGTGAGTAAAACTAACATTTTCAGATTAAAAACACATTTAGGCTTTAATCAAGGTCATAACAAAGTTTCATCGTCTTTTCCCTCGCGAATAAATGATCTTAATTCTTGATTGAATAATACTAACTTTCTCTTGTCCTCAGCTTTCAGGTTTCTGGATCCAGCAGCCAACAAGTTCAACTGGCTCTCGAGCTGTTTGCTCAGTTTGCCCAAAGCCTCTTTCCTCTTCGCAAAATGGGGTATCTCGTTGTCCTTGATAAAAGAGAGATCTCTCTTCAGGTGCACAATTCTTCTCTCGTATTCATCCACTTCCATCGAGTCATTGACTAGTTTCTCTTTTGTTAGACTAGGGTCCTCCCGAAGCTACACAAAAAACCAGAAGTTATTATACATACATTCAAAGAACCAAAAATATACTAAAATAAAATCTAACTAGCGTGTAACGCACTGTGATAGCTGTTGAATTAACTCAAGTATTTGTAAAACAGAATAAGTAAAACGTTTTAATTTAGACTGCTAACTTGTCTTATTTTAGATCTGAGATCATGCCTGTCTTTTCATGTCTCTCTATCAACAGCAATGTCCTAACTGACTATTGCGTTTGGCCTGCAATGAACGGCCTTGAATAATAATAACAATACATAACAGAATAATTAATAGCACTATTCTCAGAGGTTACTGTGGCAGCAGTACTACACGGTACCACACGCACCTCCGGTACTCATAATAAACCGCATATATTGGAAATAAGAGCTGCATTCTTTGAGTGTACTGTGACAGCGTGCCAATTCCAAGGTTCGTAATTACACATTTTGCAAAGTTTTTGTTTCAAGTTTTACAAACTTTGAAGATCCATAAAATTTTGTGAAGTTTTATATAAGTTTTTTGAAAAAATTTAAAATGAACTAAGAAACATCACATCTGGGAAACTGAAAGCAATTGAGCAGTCGCATTTGGACGCAAGATTTGCAACTTTCAGCAGTCTTATTTGATGATAATATTCGCAATCTTTGAAAGTATTCTGACAGCACACAACTACAGGGTTGGGAATTTCACTTTAGTGAATTATTTTGTAATTTGAGTTTTCAGAAAATTTCCGAAAAAATCAAGAAAATCGTCTTATCTCTTAAACTAAAAGGTTTAGGCATTCTTGATTGAAGGCCGAATTTGCAACCCCTGGGATTACTCTGACTGCCCCCAACTAGAGGTTAGGAATTTCAAACTTTGAAAAAAAAACTTAAATTAATTTTCATGAAAATTTTTTGAACAAATCACAAAAAAGGTCATATCTGGAAAACTGCAGGGTTTTGAGCACTCATATTTGGAGGCAAAATTCGCAACTACTGAAAGTATCTTGAAAGAGAATCACCACGGATATGCGAATATCAAATTTTTTGAAAATTACTATATCTAAGTTTTATGAAAAATTTAAAAAAAATCCTACAAATACGTCATATCTCGAAACCTACAAGGATCTGAGCAGCCATAATCAGAGGCAAAATTCGCAACCCCTGAGAGTACCCTCACAATATCCATTAACAGGAAGGAGATCTTCAACGTTTTGGAATTTTTTAAAATCCAAGTTTTTGAAATTTTTTTGAAAAAATCATAAAAAACGTCATATCTCGAAAACTACAAGGATTTGAGAAGTGAGATCTGGAGGCTAGATTCGAAACCCATGAGAAAACTCTGACAGCACCCAACTACAGGGTGAGAATTTCAAAAATTGCCAGTTCCGTAAATTATAAAGATTTGGTTATTCGTATATGGAGGCCATAAAAACATCACACTATTAGGTTGCTAATTTCAAACTTGATGAAATAAACACTGAATTTAAACTGGAATATTGAAAAAAACCGTAACCATAGCAATATACGTTATAGCTTAAACGTGAAAAAATTCTTTTGTTAAACATGCAAAAATAATACGTTGAAAAAGCCTAAACATGGAGATAGTGAAGCACGCATTTAAATATATAATAGATAGATGAAAGTTAAAAAAACTAGGAGACGGGTAGACAGACATAATCATATTAATTTTAAAAAAGCAGGTACACAGACAGACAGACCGAAAAAAATTACTGAAAATTAATGACCTTGCGAAAACTAAATGAAAAAATTTCTTAAGCATTGCAATATAAATAGCTTAAACATGAAAAAACTCTTTCGTTAAACATGCAAAACTATTATGCTTAAACGTGGGAGATGGCTGTCACTCGCATTTATATATATAGTATAGATATAGATAGGTAGATAGATAATCAGTGTTTAGTACTAGTTTAGCTGTACCTTTGAAGAACCTGGTTCTCGTAAAAAAAGATTTTGTGACTTAAAGCGTATTGAAAGGAATGCTTACTCACTACGATTCCTCAAGTTCGGTAATGATTAAATTAGGATTTTTTTTTGCAAACTGTAGGTTCATTTCCTACCAATGATATGCTTCATGTAGACTTCAAGAGATCGAGTAAATGAAGGCAAAATAATTTCATGCTTTAGTTTTGTAATTTGGCGAGATGAACTTCTCAATGAGATTTTTTGATGGGATTCTGAGAACATAGCCAACAGACAATTGGAAAAGTATCAATATTTTCTTTGGAAGTGTCCAAGGAAAACATGGCTTCGATGTTCGAAAAAAAATCGGAAATGTTTTTTAATAGATACTTTTTTTGATATAACTAACCCAATTTCAGAAACTTGGGTTAGTAGGTTAACTTTTCATTAGAGATCTAAAAACTTAAATTAAATTTTGAATCTGACATTGATTCAAGCTTTTTCGTGCCATTAGCACGTTGTTACTGGTGAGCGTAACTCGCCTCCCATCCTGCAAATAAATTTAAATTAAACTTGAGAAAGAAATTTGAATGGATCGAACGGCAATTTTTCTTCCTTAAGCGAACTAATTTTAACCAACTTATAAAGGAATCAAAAGTCAGACCGCAAAAATAGTTCGAGCCTGAACAAACAAGATTTTTCCGGAGGCGGAGCAATAAGCAGAATGGTCCAAGTGCAGAATGGGTCCAAGAGCAGAAAAACTGAAAAATATTGACTTATATTGGTTTATACGGGCTAATTGATAAAACAAATATTAGAATCGTTAAAAATCACCAAGAAAACGAATAAATTATGTTATGCATGAACTGACAATTTTCATTAAGTTTTGATTAAATTTTTTTTAAAATGTTCGTTGCCTTGCTATTATTGACATTTCTGATAATTATTTTACCGATTAGCTTATAGAAGTTGATATTTTTATATGTTCTGCTCTTGGACCCATTCTGCTCATTGACTGGCCACCGATTTTTCCCTGAAAAACCAAACAAAAATAAACACGGCCTATACAAATGTCCATCGATATTTTAAAAATTGCGGGACCCACTCCAACGCGCGACAACTTAACAAAAAATCTAATTACAAATAGGTTTTGAAAAGCTTTTCTTACGTCTCTATTGACAGATTCTCGCAATCTGATATACGAATGTTTATTCTGCGAAGAGTTCAGAGACTCGACCGATCCCCTGGAAACGTCTTCTCCATTCATTGAGGACGTCGAATGCAGATAGGGACTAGTCGACAAATCATGCGACTGGTAATGTTGAATCAAGTCTGCAATGTAAGGAAACTTAGGAGCATACGCTGCTATGCCCCAGCCCTCCCTGGGTTTGAAATAATTTCGAATCTGCACCATGTAGTTGAAATCATAACTTTTCACGACTAGCGTGAAAGCTGCAGGATCACTACTAGACTTCCGCAATATGAAGTTCCCAATTGATTCGTTCTCCATCAGCAACTTTTCCTGGTCTTTGCTGATATCTTTCCAGTAAAAAGGGAGCTCGCAAATATCAATTCGGGCCTTCATTCGCTCATAATTACGGTGTCCATCGGACATAGAGGGCAAGGGTTCTAGCGAAGGATCTTGCCCGTCCCAAGATTTGAACTCTATGTAGACATCTGAAATCACAAGGGCCATTAGTTTCCGAGTCCATTTCATCAAACTGCAGTACGCTTAAGCGGTGGGACAAATCATAAGATACATGAGCTGTTGCGTGGACAAATAATGTTCCTCGGCAAAAAGCACGCTGGCCTTAGCATTAGCTTTAATTGGTTACTTGTCTTCCAAATCAAGAATTTTCAAACAAAGTTACTTCAATTGTTTTACACAATATTTTTGAGCATTTCAAGTGTTACAAAGCTGAAATAACCAATTTTTATATGACATACGTTATATTTCGAAGAACAAAATTTTCAAAAACCTTTTCTGATAGAAAATATACTTTTTTTTCACGAACCTAACCCTATTAGAGAAAATAGCTAAATATATCATTGGTTCAGCGAAGAAATCCATTAATTAAAGGCCATTTTTGAAACTAAAACTCATTCTCGTTTATTGCAACTTCCGCTTTTTAAATTGAGAGCGTAATTCGCCTTTTAAAAAAGGAGGTCGAATTGATATTAAAAAGAAAGAAGATATCCTCCGCGAAAAATCTAATTTGAGCGTGTTTAAATTTAAATTTTCTGGCAAAAAAGACGAAAAAATCACACTACCTAAATGTAAGTCTTAACTTCAACTATTGAATATTACAAAAGTAATCGATACAGAACATGCCAAAATATACCTGCAAACGTTTTGCAAAAACGGAAAAAAAACTTTTTTTGAACAATCGATGCGTAATTGTTCCGACCAATGAAAATTGGGAGAAACTTTGTATTCGGGTGTGTTTTAGTTTTTTTACACGCAAAATCAGGTATCACAAATAATCATCGAACTGGGTTGAGTGATATATAAAATTAAAACACTAGCAGTCATGATACGAACTACCATAGAAAACTAAATAATTTTCCCAGTGTCGAGAAAAACCGGTTTGAATTTTGTCATTTTTCTTGTAATTTCGAACGAGTAAAGCGATTGAGCAGGCTTCTTAAAGAACGATAGTCGCAGATTAGTACTCATACATTGAGTTGGAAAATTTCTGAAATTGAGCTTTTTATCATTGTACTGTTGTTTGAAACAAATAACTTTTTTCGGTTCATTTGATGAATTAACACAGAGGCCAGGCTGCGCTTCGCAAACACTTGCGAAAACACGACCAAAAAGCAGGTCTATCAAGTGAAGAGAAAACGTAGAAATAAGCCTCAAATTCGCAAAAACTCGGCTACCTGTCGGATTCCAATCAGCGACCTACTGCACTCAAGAGATTTTGAGTCTCACGCAATATTCACTCAGCCATGCAAGCGTAACAACCGACAAAAACTAGTCACGAATAAATCAGCTAGATATGCTAAAAAATTGCCAATGCAATTCAGCAAAAGTGGCACCAAACACAAATAGACTCAATATTGCAAGTGGTAAATTGAAATATAACAAACTGAAGGCATCCACACTAAATTTGCATGTAACAAATCGCAAAACATAAATCCACATTATGTATAAATTAAGCATTTCAAAAAACTGCGAAAAATATTGAGTTAGTAAAATTCTGAAATCGAGTTTTTATCATTGTGATGTTGTTTGAAACAAATAGCTTTTTTCGGTTTTAATTTGATGAATTAAAAATGCATCAACTGTGTTAAATTATTACTATTCGAGCGTCAAAGCACATGCTATCAAAAAGCTGTAAAGGTGCTCTAAAAGTGCCACCAAAATTTGCGCTTTGGTTGGAAAAAAAGAAGGTTCGTACTATTACACTAGCTTCGCAGGTGTAAAAAAAACAATCAATTGAAAAACATAGCCAACAGACAGTTGGAAAAGCGTCAATAAATAGAAGGAAAAAAAAATGACTTATTTGATAAAAAAAAACTTCACCTTCCATACTTCAAAGAAAAAAATATGTGCTCCTAAAGCTCATTAAATTTCAGCAACACTTTGTGGATCCTTTTTATCACACTCAGCCTAAATTGACAAAACTGGATAATAGGGGAAATTTTTTATTCTGCTGGGAAATCTGAAAACAAAATCCGTTTTCAAAAAGAGAAGGCGATCACGTTTTGCTGTTCGATAGTGAAAATTGCCTTCTTTTCAACAGAGGAAATGAAGTGAACTTAAACAGAAATCAAAACCCCAACCCCAAAAAAAATCTAATTTGAGAGTGAACAAGTTTTTAGACTTTCCTGAAAAAAATGAAACAAAAAATCACCAAGATCTATATAACAGTATTTACTACGTTCATGACTTTTATAACTATTCCGAAAAATTTATCGGACGCTAACAATACCGACAACAAAAATGTTGCAGGGAAACACTTCAAGCTTGAAGTCTAAATTTCAACTCCCTTTCCCCTCCGGAAACACAAAATGATTAAATTCTTCTTTCTTATCAAAAGACGCAAAATTAGGTCACTAAGCCGATGAAACAAAAACCGAAACTAATTTGGGACGAAAAGCGTTAAATGCAGAAAACAAAAAAAAGAGAAATTATGCTAGGTCAGACTGGTATTTTTTTACAAATTAAAAAAGAAAAATCAAAACGCTTTCAATTACAATAAAAACTGCTTACAGCACAATAAAAATCAACGATGTGGCATCTAAGCCGACAAAACATTAGCTGAAAACGATTGTTCTGCATTTTTTTTGAAACTGAATAATTTCGAACTCAAAAGCGAGGTCCTGGCCAGATTATAATCTAGGCTAATAACCGCCCCAAGCTTATTCGTTACTTCTAGATCAAGTAAGCCGGAGAAGCTACGAAATTTGAATTAATGGTCAACCAATTTATCAAACGATTCAAGTGATTTGTTAAACAAGTTGTTGAACCAAAAAAAGCCTACATTCCGATTTAATACCACTCGCTAAATGCAAATAAAAACTGGGATCGCCAGTTGTTGTGCAAGTAGCTCAGAAAGTTCCGACCATGGTCTGAAAAAACACAAAAAAAAACTATTTTATTTAAATTGTCGTTTTTTCTGCGTGGTGGGATAAAAAAAAGATCTGAGCGAAAAAATGGAACTTAGGCATGTTCGACAGTCATAGCAAAATAGGCAAAATGGACAACAATTTTTGTATAAAAAAATCATAAAAAGAAAATAATTTTTTTTGCAGAATTTATTGAATGGCTTTATTCACAAAATGGCGCTAAAAACACTCCAAAAACTAACTTTACTCAGATAAGAATAAGTTTTCATGGTTTAATTAAAGCATAAGTAAGCTATTGTAAGCAGGCTCTCTAGCTTTACTCGATCGAATTAAAACTCAAAAAAACAAAATTTTTAAATCAATTTTCTCGATACTGGGACAACTTTTTGAACCACTTTAATGAAGTTGGAATCACGACTGAAAGAGCTTTAATAATATATATCATTCGAGCTATTCCGATGGTTGTTTGTGGTACCTGATTTTGCGTGGAAAACAAAAACCTAAACAGACCTGAAAGTTCCTCCCCATTTTCAACGGTCGGAATAAAAGTTTTGGTTCAGTTGGCGATTCTAAATTCCTTCACTGAGCCGAAAACACCGTTTTGGCCGTCCGCCGCAAACAATGACGGTTGCTTGACTTATACACAAAAAGTGTGAACTGGCATTTATATACCTGACGATTGTGTAGTTTGACTTCCGCTGGTACTGTCCGAGTCCATTTGCGCCACTGCCGGTTGGGATTGGGAGGATATTCCACTTCCGCTGGATGCAGGGACCGAGGTTGAAGAGATGCTGAGTCTTCTCGGGATGTTCTGGATTCTAGCGATATCTTTGAACATGGGATTACCATACACAAGTTTTACTATGATGCTGTGGTAGTCCACGCCTCGCTCCCAATTGGCCAAAGACCTAAAAATAACTAATTCGAATACTAAAAAAATTTAACTTGAAATAGCTAAAAGCACAAAATGGTTCTGAAACTTACCAAACCTTCAGGCACGGTAAAATCTGGAAAATTTCATTATCACCGTTTAATTTTTTCTAATCGATTAATCAGCATGTTGAACCACTAGTTTCTTCTCTTTACTGGTGTAAAATTACAGGGAATTGCGACTGAAAGGGATTTTTAATTTAGCATCATTCGGGTTGTTGTTTTAAGCTGCCTCATTGTTGCCAAAAAGAAACAGAACGGAATTAAGCGCTTATATGGTATTTCATTCAGGGTGTTTTCGGTGGCCTGATTTTTGCGAGGGATAAACAACGAAAAAAAGTTCCTCCGACAAAGTTAGTGGTACGAAATCGAAACCCTACCTAACTGAATGAGGTGGTGGTCTGACCAATATAGTTCCAAAAGCAGCAAACAGTGATCCCAGTCTCTCTGCTCCTTGGAAAAAGTCGTGGATGTGCTCTAGGTGTACCAGGATGTGACTGAGGGCAAATCTGTGCTGGTACGGTATTTTGTCTACTACTGATCGGACAAACTCGTCTGTTGGCCTTTGATCCGGCAAACTTTGCTTTGCCAGAGAAATCATGTCATCGTAAACGTTAAATGGTATGACGGGGTTAGGAAGTTCTCGCAAATACGATTTCAGTAAACCTGCCAGATCGTCTATACTTTTGATACTTTTCAGGGCAGATTCTGTAAACAATGTAACGCCACATATGAACAATAGCTGCTGACTGCACGAGCTACGAAATTTATCATCGAAACAAGTCCATAACTTGCGAGAGGTGCAAACAAAATGTATCTTAATGTTGTCACCTAGTTAAATTAAGAAATTCCACCAGAAGGTCTTCAATTGACTTTGAAATCAACTTACACGGAAAATACAAGCAAAAAATTCTAAAGAACTGTGTATCTATGAAATCATTGACTTATCAAATTACTCTGACTATTGTCAGTTTTTTCATTTAAAAACATACCAATTGCCTCGAGCGACACGGTCGGCTGATTTATTGGCTTGCCATTTCCTTCATAGAATTTATCGAAACCATACTGAGTACAGAGCTCTTGGAGTCTGACGCCTTTTGCAGAAGAAACATAGACGGATTTGTCGGTTTTCTGTAATCTGCTCTCAATTACAGACGTGCACAGCTCAAGGAAAAGAGGAATTGGTCTGTCCACCATAGCCGATCCGTCCGCCAAGTCCTGTCCAAAAACGTACTCTAAACAAAAGCACAGTGTTAGCCGATCCACCAGTGAATTTTTGTTTTCATTTTCTTCTACTTTACCACAACACCCGCAAATGCCTTTTATAGGTAAATGTGATAAATCACATTTTTACTATTTTGTGTTTTAGAACGTATACTTGAGGCCAGTGCGTTTGGTGTCATTTAAAAAAAATCAAGAATGAACCTCAAGTGATGCTCAAGCTAAAACGACAAAAGTAGCTCCAAAAACGCAGAATGTAAAGACTAGCCACCAATACTTTAAATTTCCACTACAATGCAGCAAAATTGATTACCAAAATGAACACTATTTTACGCGAGTTGGTTAAGAAAAAAAGTTGATTCGTAAAATAGCACTACGCTCGCTAGCTGGCTTGTGTAAAAACTACCAAAACTCAAATAACTTAAATGCCGATATAACATTGGTCGGTACTACTATGATAGAGTGGTCCCTTGAAAATAACCAGGTCCCTTGAGAATAAGACACCTAGAGCTCTCAAATCGTTTAATAATTATGATTACGCCTTTCAGAAAGATGTCGCAAATTATTTTCAAACAAATTTCATTATTTGTTACCTCTTAAAACTTCCCCCTCAACATTTTAAGGTTGAAAATTAAAAAAAAAAACGCCAATAGTGGGTTTTGATGTCAAATAAGTCAACCCAATTATATGGTTGTTGAACCGTAAAATAAAGTAAAGCGAGCAAATTTCAATATATAAACAATAGTGATTACAATTTTCAATCTGAAAAGTTTCTGGCTGAACATATTTTGCAAGATTTTTGAAATGAATAATTTATACACAAATTAGTTTTCAAAATTATAACATGCGAAATGCATGCGGGACCTGTCTATCATAGTTGCTTTTTCGGGGGACCACTCTATCATAGTTGTAACCATTAGTCAAATTAAAAAAAACAGACGATAACTAACCACTATTTGGACATGTTTTGGTCTGACACGGTGGAAGCTTTGGAAGCAATCTACACATACGGTGGAACCTCATTCCGCACTTGCGGCACTTCACCCCGTACGACATCACTCCCCGAGACCGATTGCATTTTGCGCATTGGAATGTGCTGTAGCATTCGTATTTGGAGAACAAGTGGCTGTGGCTATTGGAACTTGAAGTTTTCGTGGGGGTACTTGGTTCCAAGAAATCATACGGCAGAGGGAAAAGGTGTTGGGCGTTATCGATTGCGCTACAGAGCATCTGTTTGTGCAGATCATCAGCGCGAAATGAGGATATCAGACGCGCAGGTTCTAACAAATCTTGACCAGTGAAAAATTCCTTTTTAGAATTGAAAACGTAAAAGTATCTGTGGGATTCAGAAGCAGCAATCCATTCTCTCACTATTTCTGCAGACCATGTTGAAATATTGACAGGAGTTGAAGACAGCATAGATTTTTGAAGTTGATATTGCTGGTCTGACATTGAGTAAAAACAATCTGTTATGTGCCCATATGATGCACATATTGGATGGAACACTGCATGGCACTCCTGGCACACTTTTAGTGGATTGGAGGTACCAAGTATAAAATCTCTGCAATGTTGACATTGGATGGGACGCTTTGCGTACAATGAATCAAATTTCTTTAACCGAACAGCTGGTGGCTTCGGCTGCTTTTTCGAGCTCATGTTTTCTGAAAACTATACAAAACAATAGTTACATTGAAGCTACACTGAAATCAATGACAAAATGAAAGTTAATGAGTATCTCAGAATAATACATAATTATTAAAACGATTTTTTTTTTGGAAATTTCGTTTTTGGAGATATTTTGTTATCTAACACATGTCCGAAATTTTTTTCCGATTTACTCACCTTTTTGAAATTATTACTAGGATTAAATTAATTTATTTTGCTCATATTGTATGTTTTATTTCGAAAAAGTAAAATTCGAATCAAGCTGACATTCCTAATGTCAGAGTTATATTTTAGTGTGAGCTCTCAGGTCTCAGCTCCTGTATTCGTCGCGCGTGTTCGGTGAGGCTTGCGTTTACTTAAATGGAGAGCCTCCAATGTTAATAATTTCTCAACGTCATTTCCCCATTCAAATCGCCATTCAAATACCTTAAGATTGTCCGCAGCACTCTGCGACTTGCTGTCCTGCTGAATGATTCTTTTGATGCTCTGTTATCCGTGTTTACGTGTCGGTACGTTTGCCCAAAATTAGGTGCAACTAAATGCACTACATTTTAATTCATAAACCACACGACACTTCAGGTTGCAATCCATATATGACTTAAGAATATGATCCTTATAAGATGTTGTCTTTCAGATAACTATTGAGTTAAAGCTTCTCCCCAAGCCGTGTTTACCTCGGCAGGTTTATCACAACAATTAGGCTAAAACAGACCGTTTATGAGAAGGTACTGATTGGTGGCGTTCATCAAGCACTTGCACTGATTGACCCTGGAGCAACCGATTGCTATATCAAGTTCAAGCTCGCACGGAATGTGCCATTCTGCCAGATGGCACAGCGCAACCTTCCGGTGACACGAAAAAGAACGAATAAAGGCTTTATTAACGAAAAAGTATTGCGAAGGAGGGTAGGAATATTCTAGAATTTTTATTTGCAAAATTTCGATTGAAAAGTGAACTTTTCTGAGAAATACAAAAAGACGGCCAATTTGACGAAAAACAACGAAAAAAGAAAACAACGACAAATATTGTGAAAAACGGTCGCACAAGAGACGAAAAATACGAAGCCTCTTATCGTGGCAACAACACATGATAAGACTCTTATCAGCGGATATTAGTGGAGAAGGAAGCTTCAGTGGGGAAGGAGTATTCCACGGAACCCTCCCGTGCCACAAATTGGAAGAGATAAGAACGTTATCTCAGGAAGATTACGGGAGCGGAGGCTTGGTCCCCCAGAGACTGTTTTATGTGAAGGGACTATATAAAACTAACTTTGTAGTTACTTGGATGTCGTAGAACTCTGAATTAACACCGGTATAATTTGATATTTTAGAATATGAGTAGCTAGAGAGAGGAAAGGGTCAATCCATCTCCAATGGATTTAATATAGAACTGGCACACAAAAACATGTTAAAATAGGTTGTTCGAGCCGTGTTTTTAATGGCAATCACGTAGTCTGAGGATCCGAGACTCAGCTATGTGGTTGTGTTCGCATGTAAACGAAAGCTGATCAAAAGTCGTTTGACTGATGGCCTAAAAATGGTAACTTTTTACTTTGCCCTAGACAGACCAGAAAATCAACTGGCAAGGTCGAGACGGTGAAAAACGAGTAGAATGAAGGTAACTGACGCCTGCCAGTCGTTAATAGGTACTTTTTCTAGGCTCCGTCGCTGTGTAGTATTTGCGCGAATGTTACATAGACGTTTTTATGGCGCTCCTGGGTGGGCCTGTCAAAGGCATAAGACCATCATGATCAGCAAGCGTTTCAGCGACGAACCCTCCGCTCCGGGCGTATGCCCGAGTTAGAGGCCTTAATGACCGTTATTGTACTAGGGGGAAGGTGCGTACCCTCCGTCTGGTACTATTTAGCTTTTTAACTTAGTTAACACTGAAAATTCCGGGGGCCGGAGGGTTAGGTGGGAAGTCATGAGCCCGCTTGTCCCAAGGTCCCGGGACCAAAAACAATTAAAGAGAAAGCGTAAAACCAAACAAAAATAGTGTATAACCAAGAAAAAGCCAAAAACAAATTTATTTAAAAACAAAAAAGTACAAAAAACAGTAAAAAATCCAAAAAAGACCAAAAACAGTAAAAAAAAAATGTAAAGTGACAGTTTATATGTTGTTTCCGGACGAGATGTGATCTGACCTTCCTATTTGTTGTTGTTTCAGATTGATTTATATCGTTTCTGATAGAAAGATTGTGTGTTTTGGTGAAGGGTTGGATACCCTCCCTTGAGTGTAATTTGAGTATTTAAGCACGTTAATGGTGATTTTGCCGGTGACCGGAGGGTAGAGTGGCAAGCTGACCGACGTGTTCCACACTCAACAGGGACATAGGGACAACATCCACAACAACTGTTGGGTATCGTTGAGACAATTTTAGTATCGTTCGGGTACTATTTCATTAAAACTTAAGTGGTGGGGGGCACGATTGGCACGGTCCGATTGTACCCTCCATCGATTACAAATTTCCGAGTTAAGGGTCTTAATTCGGGTATTTTGGTGCAAAGGAGGGTATAGTACTATTCATTAACGATTACTAATAGATTATTGTCCTTACTATATATTACTTATCTCCTATTTAGACCCAAGAAACACCCAAATTTTGTCGAAAATTACTGATTCTTGACAAACTATAGACCCCCAAATTTTTGGATATCCGAGCTTTTCCGAACAGCAAAAAGCTTTTATATAGGGAGTAGCTACGTAGTTCGATCCCCCCAACTAAAGAAACCGCGTGAGAAAAGACTCAGTAAAAGTTGGAAAAAACTAAAATTTTTCGGTCAAAATTTAGATAATTTTCTGAATTTTGTCAATCTGTTTTGGGGATCGAGTTTTTGAGTTTTTACAGTTAGAGCAATAAAATTTTTTGTATTAGGAGCGTGCTAGCATAACGTGCTCGGCTGCCAGAAAAATTTTTGAGTAACCCTCCGATTAGCTCCGTAGATAGAGCTAACGACTTAAGGATTGGAAAAGGAAGGAATCGGAGGGTCCAAATTTGATAGTTATTGGCCAAATTTTTGTCACCAAACCAATTTTGATCTGGTTTTTTGCACTATTCGAGTGCCGTACAGGGCTACTACGCTCGTTTCAATTTTTTTTAGGCACTTTCGATAGGAATTGCGGAAAAAGTTTCTCAGAACCTATATAGGTGGTGAAAAAAGGCCGTTTGGACAAACACGTTTTTGGCAATTTCTCAAAGACTAGCCAACCGATCGGGATAACTTTGGTACCATAAGTCGACGTTTTTGACCACTTTTCCGGACCGCAACCGTTTTTGGGTTGATAATTGCGGAAAAGAAAATTTTTTTAGAATTTGTTGGTTCGGAGGGTCCAAATCGTAGGTAACCCTCCGAGCGGCAGAAAATTTTATCAAAACACCCTCCGAGCGGTAGAAAATTTTATCAAAACACCTTTTTATCCAACTGGGAAGGTTGACCGTGTCAGCCAACCTGGTTTTAAGTCAGGTGGACCGCTTTTGGAGACTTTATCACGGTAACATAACCTTTTTTCTTGATTTTTGGGGAACCCTCCGAGGTAACCCTGTGGAGTCAGCTAAAGCCCTTAGCAACCCTCCTTAGTGGAAAATTTCCACGAGGTCATCCAAAGAAGTTAAAACAGCCCCCCCATAGAGAATTTAGCTTGTTTTGACGCTTTCTGAAGTTAATTGAAGGCCCTTCTAAGTGAGGCTCAGAAATTTGAAAATTTTGGAGACCCTCCGAAGTAACCCTCCGGAGCATACTAAGCATCTTATTGACCCTCCTTAGTAAATTTAAGGGGACCCTCCGAAGTAACTTGGGTGATTAAGGTACCCTCCGAAGTAGGCTAAGTGTCTTAACAACCCTCCGAAGTAACCCTATGGAGTGTCTTAAACCTTCTAAACAACCTTCCTTGTTAGAAACTTGAGGAAACCTCCTGTGGCAATTTGGGAAACGGAAAATATCCATTTAATTAAGATCATATTAGGGTATTAGGTGTGCTTATAAGGATCATAAGAGTCCATTTTGACCCGGAAATTTGTTATCAACTTTGGATTCTAGATCGGGTGCATCAGAAGTACCCGAACAAAATTTTTTTTGGTTGTGATTTTGGTTGTGTGGTTGCCTTGAGCTACTTAATAGGAAAGTTCGGGCAATCCGGGAACAAATAAAGGAACACCTCGGTGAGTGTATTAGGCAAATACACACTCAGTTGAGAAGAAAAGTTGTTCCCTACTCTCGTGCACTTGGAGCAGTCCGGGTGTGGGAGAGCTTTTTCATAGATTTTAGAAATTTTCGATCAGAGGTTGCCTTGAGCCACTTAATAGGACAGCTCGGGCAATTGCAGGGCAACTAAAAGAAGACCTCGGTGGGTGTATTAGGCAAATACACACCCACTTGAGAAGACTGTGTCCTTGGCTTTGCTCTTTCGGATCGTTCCGATTGGGGGAAGTCTTTTTCTTTAAGACTAAGTTTTATTGATCTGTTTCTGAATCATCACTGCTTTTTATCAAAGATTGTTTAATTTTAACAAAGCAGTGACTTGATAAATTGTGTGGCAATAAATTGATACTGACAAAAGTCGCTGTCACCTGTAGGATTTTCTTATCTGATTATCCATTGTGTTTTGTGTGTCGATTATATCTTGTGAAAACTTTGTGATACTGTTATACTATACAACAGGGCTGAGTTAGCATTATATCAATACTGAGCAGGCCCTGTGTGTGCAACTCTAGCTGAGTCAGTAAGATTGTCATTGAGAAACCCAAGAGATTGATACTGACTTTTCGACATACGAATATTGTTTTTTGTCACAAAGCATGCAGCGCAGGGACTCGTTAGGATCGACTACTAAGATTCCCAGGCTGAGCAAGGGCAGCACGCGAAAATTTAAAACTAGGCGTAGCCAGTCCTCGTTTAGCAGCGCCTCCGACGTGTTTGCCGAAACCGAATCGACTAAAGGTCAACCTGATCTTTCAGTGAGCGAAATGAGATTAGGGAGCGAGAAAAACCTCGATGCCGATCA